GAGAAAACAATTTATATTTCTGCTCTTTGTTTTTCCTATGTGGAATGTGTTTGGAGAATTGTTTACCTGGAGTGAGTGCTTGATTGGATTCTGGTGAGGATTGTTTGAGCCTGATGGCCAATCCAACCCACCTGGGGCTGGGCTCTCAGAGAGGGTCACGAGTTGTGTCAGAGTCAGAGAAAGCAATATGTAGTTTTAATATCCTCCTTTTATATAGCATATTAATGTATTTTAGTATAGTTATAATAAAAAAATAATTCAGCCTTCTAAACTGAGGCAGACAACGTCATTTCTGCCCATTGGGTTTGCCTGTATTTACAATAGTACTGGCCTGGTAAAATGCACTATTTGTAAATCTGTGATCCTGCAAATTCTTACTGAAATCCACCAGGCTGACAGTGGCAAATTGACTACAATCAGAAATTAAGTGCAGCCATACCCAGCCCCTCTGATTACTGAGGATCAGCTGGGACACAAGACCAGCTGGGTTTATTTCCTGCCAGATGTCCATACCTTAACACAGCAGAAAAAATCAGGGAAAAACAGTGCAGAGTGCATTGTGCACCCCAGCCCCAGAGGAAACCATTAATCCACAGGTGATTTGTTCTTCATTAGAGGAAGATTCCCTCTGCAGTGATTTGGTCTCATTTCTTCACCCTAACTTCTACTTCTCTTTTCATACAACTCCACAGAAAATTCTGACTTTAAAGAAGGCAACACCTATGCATAACATTTTGTCATTTTCTCTAATTTTCTGTCTTTTCTAATCACTGCCAATGCTGTCTTCTTCTCAATTGCTCTATTTTTTTATCTAAACCTACACATGTTTTTTTTATGGTAGTGTTCTGCTCATTTCCCCATTATTTCTTAGCTAAAACTTTCCAATTATTTTGTCTTTAGTTAAAAGACTTCACTTCTTCAAATTCACCCTGGGCAACTTCATTATTTTGCTTTCCAGCTATCTATCCAGTGTCAATTATAGGACCAATTTTTGCTGTGTTACTGAAGCAATGATAGTCCAGTTCTCTAGCAGAGTGATAACAGCGTTTGACTCACAATTTTATTTTTTTTAATTGCTCATGGATTTCAATCTACTTTGTGAAATTCATTTCTATTTTAAACACGATGAAGTGGAAATGAGATGAGCTTTTAAATGAGTGGAGGCCGGAAATAAAGACATCATTGCCCCTCTGTTGACTTTGCCCTCATTTTGCTGGCAACCAGATCTACCCACTATAAAAAGGATTCAAAACAAATGCTGATTTTTGTAGATAAATGTGCCTAATTAGCAATATTTTGGAGGCACTTGACACCACTGAATCAAAGAACTGACCTCGATATCAGAATATTGTATCTCATTAACACTGAGAAGGATACTGAGAATGAACACTTATTTTATAAATTCTTATTTCTCATATTATTTTGTTATCTTTAAAAATGTATAAGTTGCCATTAGAAGCATACCTTAACCAAAATAACAGCTTTGGATATTTTGGAGATACTTAAGTCTTGAGCTGAAGACAATATTTGCGTGTAATAGGACTAATTAATTAAACCCAAAGTTCAGGCCTAATTTCCTTGAGACTTCAAGAATTCTTTTAATCTGGACTGTCACTTTTCAGATTTCCCATGTGGTTTTCATTGTGAGGAATGATGCTGATGTATGTTCCTTGGCCTGTGTGATGCATTCCAATCAAATTCTCATTCTTTCTGTAGGAGCCATTTATGGCAGAGGAGCAGAGGGAGATCTCTGGGGAAGACTGGGAGAGATCCAGCCTGGGTTTCCTGGAGTTCTGGAGCCTTCCTGTGGAAAAGGAGGCAGAGTCCTGTCAGTCTTCCCACATGCCCATACAGAGAGGTGCTTTCTGAACTGCTATGGGGTCATATAGTTGGAAGTCTATATTAAATAAATGTTCAAAACATTACTCTTTTATCATTATTCTTTAGATTCAAATGTTTAAAACATTACTCTTTTATTATTATTGTTTAGATACTCAGAGATTTCCTAAAAATGCTGCCAAAACTCAGAACAGAAACTGTATGTTTTTTTATATAATACTTGGGGTGCTTTACCTTTTGAAGGATATATCACCAATTCCACAAATATTATAAATACTATACCATGATAACATGAAGTTTACACAGGTGATTGTTTTCAGTTTGTTTGAGATCTTTTTTTAGAACAAATGGCATTCAGAAGATGCGTTAACCCCATGGCAAAAGAGAAAAGAAGTTATGGGAAGTGAACTGCATTTTGGTCTCTGTGACGCTGCTGTGGTGAAAAAGGGTGACACAGCAGAAGTGTGGCCCTCAGCTTTCCTGGTGGCCCCAGCAACACTGCCAGCTCCTGTTCCTCTGTCAGGAATCTCACAGCCTGCTTTGGGTGTGCAGGAACCTCACCTGCTGTCAATAAATCCGCAAAGGGCACCTTTATTTCAAGCTGTTAGAGGTCGGGATCTCTACAGAAAACATAAATAGCTCTGTTGTCCTGCAGTAGTGCACCCTGGGGAGATTTGTTTCAGATAATTAGGGGAAGGTGGTGAGGCACTGGCACAGGCTGCCCAGACCAACTGTGGATGTTCCATCCCTGGAAGTGTTCAAGGCCAGGCTGGATGGGACTTGGAGGAACTTGCTCTAGTGGAAGGTGTCCCTGCCCATGGCAGTGGGGCTGGAAAGAGATGAGCTTTAAGGTGCCTTCCAACTTCCAAAATATTCTGTGATTCTATGATCACTAGGAAGCATCAAGAAGCCTGTTAATTAAATTCCAGCAGATCATGACCCAGCCTTACCTGTCTCCTAGCCTGTTTCCTCTGGCCAGCTCTCTGTGAAATGGTTCATGGCATGAATCCACAACATTTCAGTGCTGTTAACAGGGACAGGCTTCTTCTCCTTCCTCCTTACCCCATCTTACATTCAATGTCTTGTTTTGTAGCTTCATGAAATAAATGCCTTGCTGGCATCTTTCACAGTAACATCCAAGTATAGCTTTTGTGCTTCCTACAAGCCACCACTATTAATTTACATCAGGAAATGAATCTCTTTCATATATATACAATAAGAGAAAGTCATTGCTCAAAGTCACTGCATCCTGAGTAGTCATAAGAGCTACATAACAGAGAGCTCTCTGGAAAAGAAGGAATTTGTTGTAAGTTTTTTTATCCTTTTGATTCCATTGTCTAATGAAAGAATGGTAAATGGTAAATTTTCATTACGTGTAGAAACTGGAGATAGAATCAGACATGCTTGACTAATTATGTTTAGTCAGAACATTGTGCTGTTTTAAATGTGAGAGGGATACAAACAGCAGCTTTCTGCTCAGGGCTGCAATGCATTACTGCAGCCAGACCATCAACCCAAGAAGTGGTTCTTCATTCCCTTCTGAGGTGTTTATTAAGACATAAATATATGTATTTATACATATTTTTCAGTGTTCAGAACCTTATGAACATATTGAAGCTTTCCAAAAGTCATTATGTTGCTTATTACTTTACTGTGCTACTTTTCTCTCTCTTTTATTGCAAACCAGTCTCAAGAAGGTTTAGCTCAGAATCTACCTAAGTTGCTCTCTTATTATTCTAAATGGAGATAACTAGCTTACACTAAAATTATCTTTCACTGAGAAACCTGGAATAATTTAGGAGAGAGTTGAAGACTGTGTCCTTACTCATATCTGGAGGAGTTTGTATTTGAATATTGCCAATTAAAGGTGCCCTCAGAAATAGCTGAAAGACGAACAACTTCTGAGGCTTGTGTTGCTTTCTAATTATATCTTGCTCAGAACTTGAAGTCCCACAGCACCCAGCACTAACAGAAGTTAGAAATGGCATGCACTTAGAGGACTTTCACCAAACAATTTTTCTGGCTTGCACTGAATTTCTGTGATTCCATAAGTTTGACTTCCAGCATTTTGTGTAGTAAACAGGTCTTGTAAACTTATACTGGTATTTCTGTCAGAAAGCTTTCCTGCTCCAAAACCAGTCAGTCACTGCTCTTTAATATCATTCTGTTGTTTCTAAGCATCTCTCTTTAATTGTATTTTTAGATGTCTGAGCTCTCTTATAGGCATTTTACTTAGTCACACTCATTCTGTTATTATTAAGTAATTCCTGGCTCCCAGTAAGTTTTGCTGCTCTTTGAATAAACACGGAAGGTTCAATAGTAGCTTTATTGTTGCAGGAATGGTAGAGAAGGGGAACCCAGCTATTTTTTTGCTGGAGAGACCATGGTTTGACTAAACTTTCCATATATTAAAACATTCATGTTATATGTGAAGGGCATCCCACATCCTTAAGAAAATTCCTCTGAAGCCATATCCAGGCAGGAGAGGAGGTGGGAGTTCGTGTTGCTGGAGTTGTCATCACCAATTCTCATCCTCTGGGATCTTTTACCAGACATTGGAGCCTAGGGCAGCCTTTGAGATGCTCTCAGAGCTCTCAGAGCAAAGGAAGGAACCTGCTGGATCTACTCTCTTTCTGTTCCAGCAGCTGGTACTTGCTTAATAGGAGAAAAATATGCTTTGAATATTTCCACTTCAGTCAACGAATACATTTAAATGGAGGAGAGTTCCACTCTGCTTCTTCAGTGAGTATTCTTCCCTTCACATGTCTGAGTAGCTCCATCTCCCCTGCAAGTAACCTATTAAATTTTCTAATCCATGTATCTTCCACCACTGGTATTTCCTTTGGCTTGGCAATGTTATGGCATTTTATTTGAGGAACTTGTTTTAGGCCTCAGCTCCTGCAGGTTGAAATATCAACACAGACATGGGCCAGAGTCCCAGAGGAGTACCTAGGATTACCAAAATATTAAATTTCCATAAGATGACAGTTCTATCACCAGAGTGTTATGGGTCACATCTTCTCCTCGGCTCTCTCTGTTGCATAAACACAAACCAGTAGGGAACATTGTATTTTTAAGGTGATTTTTTTTGTTTTCTCATTTAATTTGCAGCATACATGGTGTCTGTGCAGACATGGAAACAAGAGCACTGCTAAGCCCCAGCAGGAAAGGGACTGTTTTATTGTGTGGTGTTGGTCAGTCAATGGGACAATTCAAAATTACATTTATTCATGGATGCTTGTTCTTCAACCAACAGGTAACTGCAGTATTTCAGGTATTTCCACCCAGCACAAACTCCTCACACATACAAATTTCATCTGGCTGGAAGCTTCACTGTGAAGGCAGCATAACTGCATGGATTTTATGGATTTTACACCAACATTCCAGGCTGACAGCAGGTTGCAGTGCTTCTTCCTTTCACAAGTGTATGGCTCTCCTTACTGAGTTCTAGCAAAAAAAAAAAAGAAAAAAATAAGCATGCCAGAGAAAAGCAGAACATTTATAATTTAAGAATAAATAATAAAGTTGCTGGAGGGTAAAAACCCAAGAAAGTTATTAACTATGGTGGTAATGTCTATTTAAAATGGTAATGAAAAGCAGTCTGCTCTGAAAGAAAACTATTAAATAAAGGCTCAAGTAACATTTTCATTCAGATTGACACCACTGCTATTACCTAAATTGCCCAGAGTTTACCTGAGGACCTGGTATTTTGCATTCTGGCAGACTCAAAGTTCATGGACACCATCTGATGCTCTGCTCTGACCATTGGTTTTGACAGAGTTGCACCAGAATAAAATTCTTCAGAAAGGAATGAGGAAACCTATTAAACACTGAGTGGGGACTGAAACTGGGAGCTGATGGTGTTTTATAAGATGGTTCTGTACTGGTTGCAGTAGGTTCAATACTTGTTTTAACACTGTTAGAAGGGAGCAGGATCTGGTCTTTTGCCCTGGATTTTGTGGCAGGGCAACACCAAGTATGGGTTTATTCATCCTCTAAGAGGCATCAAACAAGTGCAGCACCACTATTTGTTGTCTTTAGCGTGGTTTTGCCTCTAATTTTACACTCATGGTGCCTTGTCCCATTCCTGTCCTGTGCTGCCCCAGTTCTTTGCTGTGTGGGACAATCCTGGGGGTTTGCTGGTGCTTATGGTTTCTTCCACATTTTTCAAGAGGGTAAAGCCAAGTGGAAGCATCTTTATATGTGCATTAGTACCTGGACTGAAGTTGGGTCATCTTGGCCTTCTGCATTTCGTTGACCCCATGTTCTGAGTAAGTCCAGCAGGCTGTAGGTTACAAAAAAGAAAGGAGGGAAAAGGTGTAAAGAGAGCTCTTTTGGCATTTGGAACAGCACATTTGGACTTTGCATTTTCTGATGTTTTCCCTATGACCCAGTCTCTATCCTGTCTTGGAATAATTTGGATAATGGTCTTTTCTCCCCATCCAATCCCTTCACTATTTTGGTTTTTAGATTTTTCTGCCTTTTTGTTTGTTTGTTTGCTTTGGTGTATTTTTATTGATTTTTTTTTTCCTTATGAAAGCTGGGACAATTTCAGCTTGGGGTCATCTGAGATCACCAGTTATCACATAGGGTTACTAGACATGACCTGTATCCCAAAATTTTGGCTCATAGTCATCTGAGATCACTAATCATCACATAAAGTTATTAGAGGGCAATATTATCCCAAAATTTCAGCTTGTGGTCATCTGAGACCAACCAGTCACTGGGCCTTTGGGGTATCAGTTGAGGTCACTAAATTAACAGAAATTTAATTAAATTAATTTATAACAACAAGACTCTCTGCTGAGCGTTGTTCAAAGACATAAAGGAGAGTTACTGCTGGGGACAGTGTCAAACACATAAAACCACAAAACTTATTTTATACCATGGTTATTAATTTCAAAAATCACAGACACATTCACTATCTCTCCAACTGCTCCCATCCATCACTTCCATTGGGCCATCCCTTCCAGTCATCCAACACTATCTTAACACTGTATTTTCAACTGCAATATGATGTGAAAGCAAATGCCTGATTTTTTCCTACAAAAAGAAGGGCAGGAAAAACAAATAGGAATTAATACTTGTAATCTTAGGGGGAATTATTCTTCCCAACCATCTACCTCCTTAACCACGCTCTGCTTAACAAAATGTGTTTCCTAAACTTCATTGTTTACTGTGCAGTAAAAATACAAGACACTGTACAGCTGTCATGGGTGCTGTATTTTAAACAGGGGAAAACATGGCAGATTATCTGCCATCTATGCAATACTACATTCTCTGTAGCACAGAATTCAAACCACATTTTTCAACCATAAAAAAGAAAGCCAAACCTTGCTGTGTTCAGACCTTCTTGTCTTCAGCCAGGGTTTAGCAGATACATTGGAGATGATTCAATTTCAGATCCACAGAAACTGTGCAGAGATGCAGAGCAAAGAGGAACCCTCTTTGCTGCCTCAAGACAGCAATGGATGCAGCAATGAGAGTAAAGGTCTGTCTGGAGGAACAAAATTGTTTGATCAGATCAAAAACATTGTTCAGGAGAAAAGTCAGAAACCAGGGAACAAAAATAAAAAATCCTTTTTTAATCATCCAAAATGTGCTGAGCTCAGCTTGGACTTTAAAAGGAATGAAATTTGACATGCCAGTGAGAACACAGCCACTGACAGAAACAAGGTTTAATGCTCTTCCAATAAGCTGATTCTACCTCCACAGCTTCCTTCTTTCTCCACTATTCTCCAGCTTCTTTCCTTGGAAACAAAGCTCCTCCACTTCCTTTTCTACTTTGGGCCAGCACATTCCTGCAGTGGGAACAGGAGCCTAAATATGAAAAAAATATTCCCCCAAAGGAGGGAGTTATCTACTGGTGCTGTGCTAACGAAGGGCTGTGGCTGATAGAATTGTAAAGCTTAAATAAAAGCAGAAAAGGCCTGGAACCATGTGCCATGGGGAACTGGGTTGCTTTACAGAAATAAAAGAAGGGATGAATAGGTGAGACAGTCTCTCATCACTAGACATGACTTCACCTATAGGCCTTCCTCCTCCCTCCCAGCAATGACACTGGCTTTCTTTCATAGCAATTCATGCATTTCAAAGGCCCAATAGCATAAAAGGATCCCAAAAATAGGTTAAAGCCTGAAACCAAAAAGCAGCTGTTTGATTAGCAACAAGAGAAGCAGAAGGGGAAAGAATTGTAGGACAGAGCTCCCTAAGTGTGCCAAATGACTTGTATTTCATGTATTTCATGCTATCTAACAGACATTCTTCTAGAATCAGGACACGTTTCAGACGTACAGAAACTGATGTAGCTGGAACATGCTGTGTGTGCTCCTTTCCCCTTACACCAAGAAGGATTACTGAGAATCAGAGTCCTGGGACATGACTATCATCACTCCCTGTTACAGGACATCCTACAGGATCATCTTGCACTGGAACAGGAAATTTGCATCACTGCTTCCCCTGTTCTGATGTAACAGCTGGACACATACTCTGAACTTGTGCTTACAGAGTGTCAGTGTCACAAGGTGGATCCTCTGCATCCTACACATCCCTGGACTCCTCCCATAGAGAAGAAATCCTATCTGTGAAGATCAACATTCACCCTTTATCCAAAGCCTCTGCAATTCACCACAGGCAAAATTAATCATCTATCTTGGAATGACAGCCTGGAAACAAAATGCAAATGGTGAGCAGAACAAAGTGATTCAGTGTCCTCAGACTAGCCAGGATTCACTCACTGTGTTAGGTGGCAAGAGAGGATACAGAAACCCATCCGCTGTGTGTAAGTACACAGATCTTCCAGCTTAGAGCAGGTACTGGATTCAGATTGAGCTAAGAGATGGCAGATCTCAGAGCTCATTACATCATTAGACAGCTGGTATGCATATTCAGGTCAGAACTGAGATTAAAATAAATATCCAGCAGATCTGTACACCACTGACAGCTATATGATGTGAAAAGAGATGAAACAAGTTGAAGATAAACCCTTCTGGTTAAACAGCAAGGGCAGGAAGAGATGTACCAATATTCAAGCTACAAGCAAGGCTTGGAAAGGAGAAATTCAATCCTAGTTCTGTTAGACAGCTGAATTGATCACAAATGCCTCATTTCTCATATAACCCACTCCTATGCCAAGTCACCCTGGAACTGTCACAGCAGAGCCCCTGCTGTAAGAGCACTCAGTGGTGGGACAGCTGATGTCCCAGAACTGTGCCAGGCAGGGTGTGGGCAGCCAGCAGCCACCGATGCCTGTGTCCTGTGTGTCCCCAAGGAGTGCAGCTCCTCGAGCAGCCAGGGGCTCAGAGATGTGCCACACAGGAGTTCTGTTCCCACGGAAAACACCAGGACACCACATCAGCTGTGGGAAAATGGCGTGGGAGACAAAGCAGTCTCTCATCATCCTTGAACGTCATCCCTACAGACCTGGTCCCTGCACATGGAGCACCACCGGGGAATTCCTGCTCCTTCCGTCAGCTCAGGAATGCTTGGCAGGACCCAGCCTTCCTGCTGCTGCCTCTCCACCCCCACACAAGCTCTGGGATGAGGTGTGTGTGTCCCATGCAGGGATCTGTCACTCCAGACCCACAGCAGTGACCACTGAGGTGTGGCAGACATTCCTGAGGCTGTGCAAGGGAGCTTAGTTTCACAAAAGGGAAAGTCAGCAGCCCCAGAGGAGATACAGAGAATTACCAGGTCTAGCTGCATCAAGAGCTGTCCAGACAGAGAGCCATAAGGAAAAGGAGGGCTGGGATAGGGCAGGGGAGAGGAAGGAATTTGTCAATAAAACAGCAGATGCTTGAGAGGGGAAGCAACTGAAACTCCTTTTGTTTTTCCAGTTAGATGGAGCTTGTACAGGTGGAGGCTGTACTGCTCCTAGACAAGGACCAATGATACTTTTGACAGTACAAAATGACCACAGCCAATTCAAGTGTTGAGCTGCCAAAGTCACACCTGAAAACATGCTGCTATCCGGGCAAAGAAAGCAGAAGTGCTTTCTGCACTGCCTCTCTCACTGTTTGCCTCAGCTTTAGCCTTGGAAGACACCCAGTGCTTTAAAGACCTAGGCAGATGGGGTAGAACTGATCCAAATAAATCAATTAAGAGGTCCACATCTGAGCTACTTGGATTAGACTCTCTCCTGAATTGTTAATGGACATCATACAATTCATCATGCACTAAAATAGAGAGCTAAAATAGGACAGGTGACTCATGCCTAAAAATAGATCATCACTTCCATTAACTAATAAGGGAAGCCTGGAGTGCCCAGTGCAGCTGCAAATGTATATACATCACAGGTGTCTGAGGTGGAGACAAGTGAATCCCAAACTGGGATGGGATTGTCAGTAGCAGGAATGGCTCCTTTTCCAACAGTGCCTGCAGATCCATGGGGACAAACACTTGTGTGCTTTGCTGCCTTTCTCAGCACAAAGTCCAGGAACATGACAGCCAAGGCTGAGACACACAGCACAGCTCCTGCCTCTTTTAAGGTATGTTTGAGCTGTGTGCCCCTGCTGGAGATCAGGGATACTAAAAGAAGGCTTTCAGCCCTGGCTGCACACCTGCAGAAGAGCTGAGTGCCATGTGGCAGGTGAGTGGAACACAGTGCTCCTGTTGCTCCTGCCAGAATCAAGGGTCAGTCCCTCAGTCAGCTCCCAAGACCAACACTTCATTGTGATCCTGTGGGAATAGAGATGATTGCCTTCTGATTATCTTCACGGGAAGTGGGGAAGAAGACAGAGGGTCCCAGAGTGTCAGGCCAGGTGGTTTAAGGACAAAACTGCCTAGTGCTGACCAGGAGGGATCTTTACTGGCAGGAAAGTCACCTTTGGGGCTGAGAAGAAAATTGTGCTCTTGTGAAGAGATGCTCTTATAACAGAGACGAAAAGACTTAACCTTGCTGGGCCTGAAAAAAATCATTGGGAAGACTTGATAAATTTAAAAGCTCCATTTACCCATGTCACCACGTCACCTCCAGAGAGGCTGTGGTGGGGAACCGAGCTGCCAGAAAAGAATGGAAAAATGGGTTGGACTGCACAGTCTAATTCAAAAACCATTCCTGACTTCTGTGTCAGTTCTAAAATTAGCAGGGTTTCTTTACATCAAATCTTCCCACATCCCTCCAATATCCCAGCATTTTTCTCATGATCTCTGCTCCTCCATGACCATGTTGGTACCTAAGATCTGTTTTCACTGTGTGATAGAATGACTGCCCTGGTTAAGACACAGTGAGTGCTACTGAAAAAGCCCTTGGTTCACTGTCAGGTTTGCCCAGGCAAAATCCTTTCCTTCAGGGAGGAGATGCATGATACTCTCACTGTGTATTAAGATTTTACCCTGGAGTTACTACGAATAATTAGCTTTCCTCCTCAGCATGCCTGGACAAATAGTTGTCAGAAAAGATGTATAGCTGCAGTGTGTCCTCTTTGCCCATGTTTCCCAGCCTCTGGACCCTCCTATCACCCAAGATAACCAATCTTTCACTGACACTGTCCCAGAGCAGTGCTGCACTCATCCTGGTAAATCCTGGTGCTGGCCAGCAACCCTCTGCTAGCACACAGAGGGAACAACTGTTTAAACTCACTGTTGATGCATCCAAAGGACCAGTGGGCACGATCACAGATCCACTTTTAAGTACCTGTACAGATACAGAATATAAAGGATTTAGTCAAAGATCTTCTGGAGTCATCAATAACTTAACCTTGCATAAATGTAAGCCTTTTGGGTGACTATCCCAGTGAGTGCTGTGCAGATTCTTGGTAATTAGTCTTACGAACACCATCATTAAACCTTAAACTAATATTAAGAAAATGTGCAACTGAGCATGCTAATAATAACACCAACCTGTTTGTTATACTGAATGGCTCCATAAAGATATTTTTTATAACACCTTTGGCACAACTGGGACCTTGCATAATTAAATTTGATTTCACTTTCTTACAACTCTAAGCATAACTGGAGATTTCTAATTAGTTACAATTATTATTTTAGAAATGTGTTTCTATTTAGTATAATCTTGTATTTTTTTAGCCAAATGCCATATGTATTTATTATTATTATCTCCTGCTGACAGCTTTTTCACTGAGACACTTTGACCGAGATAAATAACTATATGCCTCCCAACCGCAGTTCTTTGTGTGGCATCTGCTTTGGGTGGTAAAATAATTTACTAAGTGAAAAATAGCAGTTTATGGAGATAAGCTGATTTTCCATTCTACTATTTTAAGTAGAGATAAAAATGCAGGCTGATTATCTTCTAAATCTAACATTTCCACACCCTACCCCACCAAAAGCTGCTAATAAAATGTCCTCTTTAATGAGACTTCTCACCTATTTGTGTTTCCCTTCTGCCTGAAACAGCAGCCTACAGTTTTCTCCCAATGTCTCCAATGCCTGCCCAGCTGGCATACCCAGGAGCACTCCCCATGCCACTCAGGGGGAGATGCAGGTCCAGAAACAGCCCTGCCCAAGAAACCCACCCCATTAAATAATTAAATAAACATAAAATAAGTTCCTGCAAGGGGACAGTCCCTGCTGCTCTCTGTGGGTGCAACACAACCCACACTCGTGTGCTACCCCTGCTCTGAAGCCAGGAGGTGCCAATTACAAGAGCAATTAAGCACAAAATACCTGTTTTCTGCACAGTTGTGCCCCAAGCTGGAAAAGCCCAGATCTGTTCTCTGACAGAGTTCATTTGAGGAAGAGGGAGAGGCTGAATTACCAGCTAAAGTGGAAACAGACAAAAAGTGATAAATTGGAGAACAAACCACCGGAACTTATTTACTTCTTGAGAAATTAATGAACCCCATGAGCTCATAGGTTGCAAGGCAAATTAAATAAATGTCTTTCCCTTTTAAAATCTGGGGAATTACAGCAAGTGGAATTGACTTTATGCTTGTCTTCCCTCTAATTCACTACAGGTAGCAGTCTGGTGAAACACAGAAGGGAAATGGCAAGAGAAATCTATATCAAAATGAAAACAAGATTAAGTGAAGGAGCCGGAGCAGGTCAAGGAATAGTGTATAACTTTAAACATTATATAAGTTATTTTGTCATGCTTACCATTTCTTTACTTTAAATTCACAGATGTAGGCCACAGTACACTTTAGGAGCTGATTCTATCACACAAAATAAAAGATCGACCAGCAAGTTAAAAGTAAATAAAGTTAGAAAAGCATTTGTACTTATCACATATAGTGCAGGGTCTCAATGCTTTCTAGGTCAGTGCTGTATCTGACTTAGTTTGCAGCTTTGTCATCACCAAGCATTCAGAAATATATAACACACACATCATGTTTCTAAAATAAATAATAAGTTCATTTTACCTACTTGCAGATTTTGATG